AACAGGGCTGAGTGGGATCAAGCTTGAGGAAACCTTAAATGTCAGTACAGACACCGTTTGATGATGTGGGAAGAGTGAGATGATGAAAGGAAATACGTGGGCTCTACCTGAAAGAAATGGCCTGTTGATGCGAGTCAGTAAATTGGAACTGGAGGGTTGAATCAGCTGGAATCCGGTCTAGAGAGTAACAACGTACAGGCTGTGTGCTCCGCTTGGGGAAAAGGGGGCGATTTACAAATTCACTGGAGTGAGGGGCAAAAACCAGAGAGCGTGCATCGACTTCACAGGTGGTAACAGTAGCATAATGAGCGAGGACAATACCTTAAAAAGTACAGATATAAAATACATTCATGAAGACGTCTTTTACAAACAAAACAAGAACAACAGAAAGCAGGACACCATCGGTTCAAATGGCTCAAGCCCAGAGGCCAAACACAACATCAGTTAATGGACAACAGCACAGAGTCATGTGAGGGGTGGGTGGGAGCAGAACAAAGGTTTTTGTTTTTTGTATGTGTTGACACCTGTACAGATGTGCAGCAGTTAGATTCTGTACAAACTGAGACACATAACATCCTCCCAGGTATCATCCCTGTCCAATCCAACACTGAGCTCACCGTCCTTTAAGGAACCTCCTTCTCTAGTCGTATCTAACCATGCATTTAGTTCTGCTTTTATTTGTCCACATGCAGATAAACAAAAACAATAATCAACAAATAATGAATCAGCGACAGTAGTTATTGTCGCAGGGTGGCGTTTTGTCTTCTGCTTAGAAGAATTTTTGTGTCATTCAAAGCAACAAAATAATCACAAGAGCTGAGAATAAAAAACTGTTCTGTTAAATGGGGTTTAATAAAGCACTGTAGACATTTCTCTTTATCAAATTGTCAGAAATAACTGGAAAATGCATAGATTTCTGTCTAATAGGGTGACTCAGACTAACAGCCTTTACTGTATGAGGACGGATCACGCTTCATGTCCGTAGTCACCCTCAGAGCTCCACTCTGAGTCTGAAAAAAAGTCATCGTACTAAACATTACTCCACATTATTTTTAAAAAATCGAAAAGGGACACATAGTCGCTATTAGTCCCAAAGTGACTTTAATCTAAGTGTTAAATGAACAATACTACACATTCAATCGAGATTAATTTTAAAATGTTTAAAAAGAATAAAAGAAACAGTGGCCGAAACTAATCACGAATAATTTTGTACGTCAAACATTTGAGCGTTCTGGCTTCTCAGATATGAGGGTTTGCTGTTTTTTCTGTTCATATCATTGGAAATATATAGTCTATGAGAGTTTTAGGTTGTTTGGTCAGACTAAACAAGCTTGCAGCAGTCATTACTTTGGTTTGTTGGATAACTGAAGTGAATTTCGCTGAAAAGCTCCCCCCCTGGATAATCCACCCAACACAGTGTCAAGAGTTCACATCGGAACTATTTCTTCAGCAGAAAGTAGTTCCGACAATCTCTGCAGACCGTCCAGAGTAACAGGAGACCTACACATGTTTAAAAACCCGAGCCAAATAAAAACTAAATATCAGCATGACTAGATACAAAACACAAAGTGGACCGATTCTCTAAATCTTCATCTAAACCGGCCAGTGCGCCAGAACCCGGCTCCTCATCGCAACTACTGACAATAATCTGTGCCTGCCAGTCACTCCGCCCGCAGCCGAGCCTCTTCAAAGCTTCCTGTTCAACAGTAGATGGACGGTGCTACCTAAGTCATGGTGGTGATGGTGGTGCTGCGCTGGTGTCCGCTCCAACACAGTTCCCTGAGAACCCCAAACACACTTCCTCTACAAACTACAGCTATGGCAAAATGCTGGGGATGAAAACTCGTGGTCCTGAATGATTAAAAGAAAAAAAAAACAAACCCAAACACATTTTACAGAACAATATGGTGCAGCATTACAAGGAGAGGACATGTTAAAAGCCAATATTTACAAATAGTTCGGATGATCTTGGCAATGACAGGCGTTTCCTCCTCAATGCCAGGATTATTATGGAATGGTGTGTGTCGCCTCTTCGTACCTACAGCAGTGTGCTGGTGGTGGGAAATGAAAGTGTGTCTAACGTGGTCAAACCTAATCAACGCACTGATCGCTGATGCATTTACAAGAATCAGCAGTTTCCAGACTGGTGATCCTTTTAACGAGACAAACAATTCGGATTCTGTAAATGAAGAAATATGATCCAAAGTTAACTCCTCCAACTGTCTCACACTGGGCACCCACGTTACATATAATGCTATAGTACACGCTGTACTATCACCAACATATGTAACTATTAAGACTCTGATATTTTCTATTTGTACATTTTGTATACAGCATAAGTCTATATATTTGTATTTATTTTATTTTTTTCAATATGTGTACGTGTGTGTTATTTTTTTTTTTTTGCATTCTATATTCCAGTCTCTGGATGCTTATTTTGGCTTTAAGCAATGAACCGCCCCAATGGATAGTGAGTTTGCATTACAAATAGGGTCTTTCCTTCCCTGGCGCGCTCAACAAACTCAAATCCTTCACAGTTTGCTTCAGTGTCCACCTCTTCCTCCCGGTCCTTTTTT